GTGGGGGGGGCAAAGGCTCGGCAGGAGGCCCGGACCGGCATATATGCCTCTACAGGCCGGTCGATATCAATCGGTATACAACAAATACATGACGGCACAGCGGAGGCCGCGTATGAAGTATGAATCCCGTGCAGCACATACGTTTTCACGTACGTTTGGGTTCACCGGCTCTCGGGATACCGTAGCAAGATGCGCGCGACTTCGTGTGCATACCCTGGAGACCCGTCAAGGTCGGGGTGCCTCGGGGATGAGCCCCCAGGCGAGTCGACGACTGCACCATAGGGGTACACCAATGGTGAGCGACGAGCACAGACAAGTGAGGCCTCGTTCCTCCCCCCCGAATCGTTGTCCCTCCGCATCTTCGAACAAGAACACAAGGTGGACGCCTCGTGATCGTAACACGTGTGGCTAGGTCGCCATTCGCCCGCTCGCCACCCCTCTCTCCCGACAACCCTACGGAACAGAGAAAACAACGGCGAGCGATACATACCAACACGACCGGCCTGGACTCGCCTGTCCGGTCGGCACCGTGATGTTAGGGGAGACGGTAGCCCCCGGCGCCACCATCGCTCCGCTCGACACCGTCGCCCCATCCATAACCGTCGCGCCCGCGCCCACCATGCAGTCGTCCTTGAGCGTGCACGCGTGGATGGTAGCTCTGGGGCCTGCAACAGGCGGGGGGGGGGGGGGGGGGGGGGGGGGGGGGGGGGGGGGGGGGGGGGGGGGGGGGGGGGGGGGGGGGGGGGGGGGGGGGGGGGGGGGGGGGGGGGGGGGGGGGGGGGGGGGGGGGGGGGGGGGGGGGGGGGGGGGGGGGGGGGGGGGGGGGGGGGGGGGGGGGGGGGGGGGGGGGGGGGGGGGGGGGGGGGGGGGGGGGGGGGGGGGGGGGGGGGGGGGGGGGGGGGGGGGGGGGGGGGGGGGGGGGGGGGGGGGGGGGGGGGGGGGGGGGGGGGGGGGGGGGGGGGGGGGGGGGGGGGGGGGGGGGGGGGGGGGGGGGGGGGGGGGGGGGGGGGGGGGGGGGGGGGGGGGGGGGGGGGGGGGGGGGGGGGGGGGGGGGGGGGGGGGGGGGGGGGGGGGGGGGGGAAGCGCGCGGTCGTGGGGATCAGAGGCGTGGGGCACATGGGCAACAGGGAGGCTTGCGCAGGTTTCACGCGTGGCCATAGAGAGGTTGAGTGGGGGGGATTCGCCCGATTCAAGAGCCCCGACCACGTGAAACCGACTGTCGGATCGATTCCCCCAAGACTTTTCAAGAGGCAGAGGCCTGAGTCGGGGCTTCTAATGGCGGCACGTGGAGGAGGCTGTCCCAGAGGATGATTTGGCCGGCAGCGGGCCGACAAAAGAAGCTGCAACAAAACCAGGTTTCTGCGAAAACGTCCAACAGCGCAAAACACCAGCAAGGTGCATGACACCTGAAATGCCCAAAGGCCGCCAATAAGGTCGCACCCTTCTCGACGGATACCGTTTGACAAAGGCTATCATCCAGTAGATTACTTCAGTCGGTGCTGACTCAGCAGTGCAATGGATCAGCCTGGTTTTTGAGTTACAGATAGGGTACACGTTCCCCGCACGGCAGCCTCACACCAACTCAAACAACATAGCCCTCTCCCTCCTACTCCACACAGGTCCAACACTTGTATCAGTATAAGCAGCTAAGTACGAGGAGAAACGGCTCGAATACCAATATTACCACACAGTTGTAGACGATCGCTCACCAATCACCACGTTGCTGCCAACGATGGTGGGCTTGTCGCCCGCGAGCCCGGCAACGTGCACTACCGCCGAGTCGCCGACCGAGCTGCCGGCGCCGATGACGACGTGGTTCACGTCCCCGCGGACCACGGAGCCGTACCACAGGGACGCTCCTTCGCCAACCTTTGGTGGGCACGTGTGCAGAGTTATATAATGCCGTCGGGCGGTCGGATTATAGGAGTAGCAGCAGCGGTAGCGGTGGCGACGCAGCAGGTACGAAGTCCGAAGCGGCAGGGGTACATGAGGTCGGCAGGAAAAAGCTTCAGCCGTGCGTGTGGTGAACAAAAGGTGCGCGCTGGGGTGATACAATTTCAGGGACGTCGATGGCAACGGGGGCCCGAACACAATTTTGGTAGTGCCACCAAGAAACAAGTCCAGTCCATGTTTGGGGCGGGAAAAAGTTGAAATATTAAATGATACCGTAGAAATTTCCCGCAAATTTCTTGTCGAGAAGCGTGCAAGAGGAAGGGCCTAACGATAAACCCAACCTCTTGCCAGGTGCCCCTGAGTGGAATCCCTTTCGGCTCCTTCAGCGCGATGCAACCCCACCGCAATGTAGCCCAAGGTCGCGTCTCCCGCCTCGCAGCAAGTCTCCTTACGCCCCCCTCCTGTTTCGCCTGGTGGTTCTCTGTAGCTCTTTTCCTTGCACCACCATGAACGGCGCCAAACAGGTCTGACACCAAGGCACGTCTCTAACAAACACCGCAGCACTTGATCCAGCCGCCATGCAGCAAACAGATCCAGCCAAAAGGGCTGCTTGCTACAGCAGTATGCTGAGCTCCTCACCTTCACGTCTCCGATGACGGAAGCGTTGGGGGCCACGAAGGAAGCTTGTGCCGTCGATGGCATCTTGCCCTTGTGCCCGACGCTCCTTGTGGACGCCAACACTGTTGTGTTCGTGGTAGATGTAGTAGAAGCAGCAGAAGCAGCAGCAACAGAGCGGTGCAAGCGAAGCAGGGGAAGGAGAGAAAGAACACACAGGGTAGGACCAATGAAACATACCCACAGTGATTCAGGAATGGAGAGCGGCATAGCTGGCAGCGTTCACGGATCCCACTCCCCCCTGGAAGAAACCGTAGGGAGCGGCACTTGCAGCTGCTACAACACCCTCGATCGCACGCTTATCAAGCAGAGGCTACGCAAGCATTCAAAGAGAGGCTATCATAATAACCAACAACGTGTTGACCGCACCAACCAGCCACCTGCAAAGAGTCGCACAGCAGTGAGTGGTGGGATACGGGGGCAGTGGCAGCAGTACGGTACCATTCCGCCCCGGGGGTCGGGTCAACAACCGAGGTGACTCGGCAATCTGACCCCATCCCAGTCACTCGTGTTTCGCAGGCACTACCGTGCGGCGCACACCGGGAAACTGCCAACACGCTCACCAGCACACAAGCTGCGAAAGACGGCATTCGCGACTACATGTACAGAGTTGTACGCCCGCGGGGGTATGCAGGTTGGACAGAATTGCTGATGCTGTATGCATCTGTTGACGGTGGTTTCGTGCTTCACACGCAGGGTTACCAACAGGACTGCTCGTACTGATGCAATGCGGCATATCTTTACGAACCGACTCGTCTCCTAGCTCTCTTGTTGGTGGTTGCCACAGGCATACTAGGTGCGTCGACGTGGTCGACTCCGCTGTGGGAACCTGTTTGCTGATTTCTGTTCGCAGCAGGACAGAAACGTGCGTTGTGTTTCTCGCTTCTGGCCTTGGAACAAACGACATGCAATACACAGTTGGACGCTCCACAAACTCGGGACACGGCGAAAGCAGGGATGCAGCACCAGAGCAGCAGCTCGACGCATCTCTGTGCGTCTCTCTCTTTGTTTCTCTCCCCTCCCACCCCTCTCTATCTTCACTCTTCTTACATTTCTCGGTGTAGGGGTGCGTCTCGAGAGCTGCGCCCATCCCGTCCAAGCTTCGACCCACTCTCCGCGCAGCCATCCCAACCGCGGTCTTCGCCTGATTCAGTATGGTTGCCATGGTATCCTCGTGCTCAGATTCCCCTTCAGTCTCCTGCGTTCCTCCTGCTCCGTGCCAGCAACGGCGCTGCTACCTGCTGCTGCCTGCACATGGTATTTGTGCTCGATATGTGGGTGTTCCGCCGAATCAGGGACCTCTGTCCAACCCTCCCAGCGGGCACGGAACCCCGGATCCAAATCTCCAGAAATCTCGCACGTATGAACCATGTGTCTGCTGTTGTTGCGGACACAGGCCGGATGGAGAGGGAGAGGCTGTGAAGTCTGTCCATCAGTCAGCAAGGCTTGGAAGCAAACAGAGAGGACATCGCGCCCCTTGACGGAGTCGGCGCAACAAATTTTGAAGCGACTGCGAGCCATATCTGAGAGGGAACGCGTGTGCCTGCGGGGCCCGTATCTCCCGCCCCCTCGGGTGAGTTGTTGATTGCGCCGCCACGGGTCGGTCACATGAACACGCGGGCATGTGCGTGTTCAAGCGCGGAGTTGAGGGAAAGCGCTTGCAGTGAGGGCTAGTGCCGCATCGCAAGGGCTGCGTGGTTGGCGTGTGCTTGAATTTTGTTGTTTTCTACGCCATGGTGTGGTCGCACACAGGCTCCCACGTTCTGCCGGTTCATCTAACCTTTCCAGCTCCAAGCCCATGGCTCCAAGCACTACAATACCAGCTCACGAGAGCAGCGCAATGGATGTAGTTATCTTGAAATAAATCATGCTCTGCAGCCAGTCCCTTCGTAGCCCCCTGGTGAATGCGGTCTGCATCAGGCTGTTGCAGCTCTGAATGTGACAGGGCGCGGCAGCAGCAGCAGCGGCAGTGGTCCAACGACAAAACGGACGGAATAACGGCTCGCGTGCCACCCAACCGTCATCAGCACCATAGCGCAAGCACACAAAAAACACACCCAAAGACAGCTTTGTCGCCCACAACAGCCCTGCATCTTTTACCCGCTTTCTGGTGTTTCTGCAGTTGTCAAGTTTCACCGAGAAGATGCCGAGACGAAACCGACGGACCGCCGCCGACACCGGAAACCGTCCGCCGCGGCCAAACCCCCGCCGCGAGGAGGAGGTGGGTGTGTGAGAGACCTCTCGATGGATCTTACTATTCGATTGGCGTACTGTGCCTCGTGCAAGCCGGCCCGAAGAGAAAAAGCTTGTTCATAATAAATCACGCTGACTCTTCTCCTATGTAATCGTATCTACCCCTCGGCCTGCGGCCTACAGGAGGAGCGTGTTGTTACATTTTTGCCATGTATCACTGCTGTACAACTGTAGTAGCTTTTCTCGCGGTACATCCTGCTGGAAGTAGATCAACATGTTGCTGACGTGGTGTTTTGTTGACTTACTGCTGTTGCACGCCCGGAGAATACAACAAGAAGTACAACAGACACTGTCCTCTGAGATGCCGCTTGCTTGCGGCAGCAATGTCTCCGCAGTTGAGGCTGATGGAATAGCCGACATGGACCCTGTACTTCCATCCGCATCGCCGAACAGTTGTTTCAGCTGTGATCAGTGCAAAGAGCCCAACAAGCCTGCACCAAGAGTCAATCAGTATCTCGGATTCTTGATCATGGCCCGGACTCTTGATGAGTGGTTGTAGGCCACACCCATCGGACTTCATGCCGTTTTTAACGCCATTTCCATCGTCGTTGCTGCCAACACTGCCCTCCTGCAGCATCATCCCAGGATGGGCGCGAAAGCGCCCGCCTTCTCGGTGCCCTGGAAAGGGTACTCGGCCACCTTCTCTTCCACGCGTAGGAAGCCGGCCGGTATTAGGCAATGGAATAAGGAGAAGGAGAAGAACAACGGAGGGGAACAGGAGAAGGATACGAAAGAGGAGGTGGAGGCGGAGGCGGAGGAAGAGGAAGAGGAACGCAGGTTAGCTGTCGGTTCCACCACCCCAGCACCTTCTGAGGAAGACCTGTTCGCTCAACCGACAAGCAAAACTCCGGTTGTTCCCGCACGCTACTCGGACGATACACAGAGACGTGGGCCGGCATTCCAAGAAGATAATGCTTCGCCCCGTGCTCTAAATGCGGGAAGTCTGGTCCGTGGAAAAAGTTTCTTGCCGGACCCTCAGCAACAGGTCTCGGTGGCCCCAAGAGACGAAGGGCGAGAGCAGCAGCAGCTGCAGCAGGAGGATGGGGAGGGGGAGGAGGTGCAACACATAAGGATCGGATACACTGTTGCGGGAGCGTACTTCGAAAGGACTGCGACCCCGCCCTCATACCGTCTCACCCTGCCGCCCCTATATCACTTGGTGAGGCCCTCTTTGGAAATGTCATCGTGACGAACGTAGTGCTCCGAATAACGAGAGACAACGACCTATGGGTGAGTGTCAACCAAAACGTTGTGATCGCGTTGGCATCGCGTGTTTCGGCTGATTCGCCTGACCGAGAGAAGAAAAAAACGGACCCCATTGTTTTGTGCCAAACAGCGCCACAAATTCCAAGTAACGCACCTTCCGAGTTCAAAAACGCTGATAAACGCGGGCTCAAGCTAGCCAAGGAATTCTTTTTCCCAGTCTGCTGTTTTGGGCGTCACATTGACAACGATGACGACGGCGGCAACGACCGAAACCCGCCCGCTGGCGATTCAGCTGGAGGTGGCGCACCGGCAGCAGCGGCAGGAGCTTGAAGAGGCGTTTGCGGTGAAGATGGCTTTGATGGAGCATGAACAGGAAGGCCTCAAGAATCAGGTGCGCCATGCTGCTACTACTACATTACTGGCGAATCTAGTCTACGTTTCCGTGAGCTTCGGGATGCCCTGACAGCTTTCTAGACTCATGACCAATCAGGCTAAGCTTTCTGTCTACGGAGCATTTATCTGCGTTCTTGCTTGGTGTCATTCGTTTCTTTTTCCTTCAATCCGACAATTTAAAACCCATGTTGCTCTGAGGGAGAGACCATAGTAGGGGCTCTTCAACGGAGTACGAGAGAAGACCGACATCCGGAAGACCGAAAGCTTTCGAACGTATTTTCGCCGCCGAACCTGTCGACGTCCTCACCTTTTGTTGTTACCTTTTGCACAGTCATAAGGTCGTGCCGATGCTCCCCAGCGGTCTCGCGGAGGGTTGTCGCGTGTGGGCACGTGTCAACTGAATTGAAATAAACGGACCATGAGCTTTGCCGCGTCAAGCCTGCACACCCTTGAGTACCTAACCGCGCTGGTGGAAATAGGTGCGACTTTTGCGATCGTACTTTGATCACTTTGAAAGGCGGAGAGAATGGTGGGGTACTTTGTGTCCTACGGAAGATGCGGTGTTCCATGACTCTCGCCTCCTTCGCTCCTTACACTTCTTCTCGACCGCCCGTTCCCTCCTGTGGACGTACTTGCTTGTCTCGAAGCTACTTTTGCTCGAGACTAACGATCTGAAGATGATTAACGCCGCACACCACCAGGATCAACAATCGAAGCAGATCGGGTACGGAGAGGCATCAAACGGCGTTGCCGTATCTCCAGAGAACGTCGGAAACGGCGGTGACAAGCGCCGTCCAAACAACGAAAACAGTGGAAATAGTGTGGTCGACCGTGACCTTAGCAGCAGTACCAAGACCATGAGGGATATCACCAAGGGCGACAGCGATGTCAATGACAACAGCGAAGAGGTTTGTAATAGCGACAACAGCGCCACCAAAGTTACCCACGTCCATGACGAAACCAGCGGTGGCATTGGCAGCCACAGCAGGGTCAAGGTCAAACTTTCTCACATGCACAACAAAACCAGCAACAAAACCGTCAGTGGCATCGGCATCGGCAGCACCAGCAGAACCAGCAGCACCAGCAGCATCAAGACCCACCCGGGATCAATCGCCGCCGCGACAGCCCGCATCAAGGCCGAGCGGGAGGAAATCCGCGCATTGCTCAAGGGACTGGTCGAGTCCGGGGACAACCTCTCTCGCGTGAGGAAAGAGATCGTCGGCAAGACAACACGTCTCGCCTGGCCCCAGGAGTCGAGGTAGGAATGCAACCGCCTCCTTTGTGAGTTTTCTTTCCCGCACACGTCAACCTCGGCTGTGTGGGTTTTCGACGTTACTGGCAGAAAATTCCTTTGTTGATGTCGTCGCCTGCGACATTCTCTGGGTAAATTGTTCCATCGAAGATCTCGGCCACCTTCGAACGACAGAACGCCCCCACCCACCCCCCCCGCCCTCGTGATTTCATCGCGTTACAACTGGTTTTGGCTCCAGAAAGTGTGGATAGGCTTACCCATGCCCCGTGCTGGCAAACACAAAATACCCCACAAGCTCCCAACATTCCCAACACGCAAGCACAGAAAGTTGGAGAACGAAGTATTGAGCATTTTCTTCGAGCTCGGGGTAGTAGGAGTCTGCTTCAGTGCCGAAGGGGTCACACCAACTTGATTTCACTACCTGGGGTGTTTCCATGCTTGATGGCGTTTGAACAGAGCGATCACCAAAGGTACAGGTTATCCTGGCCATCGGGAAATCCCGGAAATGGGTGTTATGACCAGCCTGGAAACTGTTGACGGCCCGGCGAAGGAGGCGGGTGCGGAAAATGAAGAGGTAGGAAAGAAGCAGGTCAGTTCGAGGATGCAGGTCACATTTTGACCATGAACGTGTTGTGGTATGTGTAAATCGATAGGTCACGCCTGCTTTCAGCGACCATGTTCGGCATTGATCGTGGGACATGCGTGCGCGCAGCTATGCTTGACGAACGTGCGTTGCGCCACTTTTCAGGCGTGACCACAGATAGGCGTAGTAGGAGCATACAAACGGATAAACCAAGGTAACCCCCCCCCCGAACCCCCTTCAACCCCTTGCGTCTCTGTCTTCCCGCTTTCACCAAGATGAGTGCATTGTCCAACGCTGAGCGAGAGCTCGCCGTTGAAACGGAATCTGGAAACGTGCCTAAGCGGGAGGGACGTCGGAGTAGTGACCGTCGTGATGTTGGTGGGGCTGACGGTCTTCGTGATGGTGACGGCGGCGGTAACGAAGAGGGTTTTGCAGTACGGGTGGTACAGATGTTGAGGGAGAGAGCCACGGCAGCGTCCCTGGCGGCCGAGGTGGCCAGAAAGGAAGGGGACAGGGCCAGGGTCGAGCTCGAAGCCCTCAAGGAGAGGGTGGCGTCGGTCGAGGAGCTCTTGAGGTTCGAGTTGTACATGCTGGTCGGGTATTTCTCGTCGATTGGATCATTGTTGGTATCTGCTTTGTTTTACTGCACTTCTTTTCTCGGTTGCTCAACAGAGGAAAACGATTTTTTGTATTTTCGCAAACCCCATCCGCGCGAAAATAACGTATCGTCCTGAAAATTTTAATCTTCCAACCCGAATATTAGATTGCCGCGGCATTTGGATTAGGTCGGTTTTCGCTGCCCTCTCATCTTGGTTTGCCCGCAGGTAAGTCTGAGTAGATTGACTAAAGGCTGTAGGGGTGCGGCTTGTTACCATGTGTTGTGGTTGTTGCCCGTGGGCCGTTCGTTCGACTTCTTGTCAAATCTAAGTGCTTTCTCTCTCTCCTGCGCCCGATAGGGGGTGGCGGGCGGTAACAGGGTTGGCTGCAATGCAAGATCGATGGCACGGACTGTTTTCGGCGTGCGTGGCGTGCTTCAAATGTAGAGCAAACCATTGATGCAGGGCGCTTGTCCTTTGGCTTAGCTGACGATCTTCATGAGGGCTTCACTACGATTGACGTCTATACGGTGGTCGTTTTTTTTTTTCGTGTGTGGAGTTTGGCATAGTCTGCAAGCATTTTTGTTTCAACGACGCGTGCGACCAGGTCGGTAATTTCTACATTTCGTGGCGATAACCTCGGTGATTGCTTAAGGGGCTCTTGTGCATCGAGATTAAGGGGGATTTATCCGAACTCATTGCTGTTCATAATCCGTCGCGTGCGTGTGTGCCTTCTTGGTGTATGGGCAAGCTTTTCTGGCCGTGTCACCCTATTCTCACGAACACATGGAGTAGTCCGAACAGTTCCGGGCGTCCACGCCCGAAACAACACGATCCATACAACAATCATTGCCGTGCTTCTCCTCCGCTGCAACGTGTCCGACCCCTCACAGCAAGTCGAAGGCGGCCGAGGTAGACTCTGCATCGAGGGTTTCGGAGGCGGAGCAGACTTGTGCCCGTCTCAGAATGCAGCTACTAGCGCGCGAGCGACAGGTAAGCACGCACCGCTGGTTCCGTGTTAGGGCTGTTGCGTGGCCAAGAGGCGGAAGGGTGGCCGTTCTTCCCCCGCCTGATTGCCCACCCGCACCTTTTCGTTGCTGTTGTTGTCGTTGTTTTCAATTTCACACCCCTTTGCCGAGACCAAAGGGCGGGATGTTGTCGTGGACTGAAAAAACTGACGTGTTGTAGGACGCAGTCGGTCTTGTATTTTTTCAATTTTGACTTGTTCGTTTTCGTTTGCCATGTCAATGGTCACCTAACACCGCGGGTAGAAGGCGAGCGGAGGGTCCTCGACTGTCTGTCGTTGATTCGTTTTGACTTGAGGGTCCTCCGGGTCCACTTTGCTTTACTTCGTATGCCTCGGTTAGGAACGTTCGCCTGTGACCACGGAAATCGACCGCGTCAAGTGTTAGACTAGTACGGACAGAAGAAGTCATTGAGTAGGGAGACCGGGGCGGTTGTTGACGCGAAGACAACAGCAACAACAAAAGTCCAGGCGCAGCATCGGCCGAAACCGAACTCGAGACCAGGCAATCAGATCAAGCTCGTCCACGCAAGCAAGCCCCTGACGAAGATAGACGAGAAGAGTATGGGTTACGGAATGCGAACACATTGAAAAGGCCTCGCCTTGTCGACGTTTTATACTGTCCCTATGCCGCCCTCTTCCTGGTACCCCGCTACTTTGCCCCACGTTTTGTGCTGTGATACTCTTCATCTTCGTTTTTCCTCACACCGCCACTGCATACGCAATGATGGCCTGAATGCCATGTGTACGTGTCAGCAAGCGTGACAGCAGTCACCCGAAGCCAATAATTTCCCTGCAACGACCGTGCGTGTATGCATTTGACGGCTGTTCGTCGGAACGGCCTGCTACCCACCTTCCTCCGCCGAAGATCGCCGAGCTGCGAGAAATATCTCAGGGAAATCTCGACCGCGCCAAGCACCGCCGGAAGCAATGTAGCTGGTGATTTAGCCCTGCAAGATTACGGATAGCGTGAGAAAACTATGGTTTATACCCGGAAGAAGAAGGCTAGTGGAATGGCTAGAAGGTTCTGGTTACACTAACGCCATGTACAACGCGGGTTGTGAGTCTGGTCTTCGCCGGAGCCCCCTTTCCGCGCAACACCAGGTGAAAACGGTCAAGTCAAGTACCCCTCGTTTGTAAGCCGACGTGAATATTTTGCAGGCTTAAGGGCACGGCGGTTATGGCTTGGCGGTGGGTGGGTCACACAAGTGAATGTAGCGGTGGTTCCCCAAAACCTGAAGGAAAACGGGAGTAGATCATATATAAGGCTGACCGTGCGATTGACAGCCATGAGTGCCGGATCGTGGAGTGAGTTATTTCGACCAGATCTTGGAGGGTCCTGAACGTAAAGAACACGAGTGCCATTTCTCGCGGCCCAGGGAATGGCGTGGATTAGGTGCACACCATGGGTTGGTTGCGGCTGGGTGGGTGCGGGCGGTAGAGAAAGGCGAGGTCTAACGACGGGCGGACGTCTTCGTCCAAGTGAGCAACGAGCGAGCAACGACTCGTCGGGAGAAGGGCTCATTGGTGACTTAGACTTTGGAGATTTCGCGAAAAATTTGTCGTTTGCATCTACCCGTTACCACATTCACTTTTATGTAAGAAGGGGCCAGAAGGGGTCAGTTTTTTGTCGCCACTAATGAGCCTTCAACCCGAGGAAGATTTTTGCACGAAGGGCAGCTGGCGTCTGTGACATAGTGTCGCCATGTCTTCACATTTCGAAGAATTCACTTTCACTTTTGAAGAGCACCGTTCCTGGGACAATCAGTCCCCGTGTTTCTCTACTTGTTAGCGATGTGATGTCACGATGTCAACATGAGGAAACCTGATCAGCGTGGCCCGCGATAAAGTATGTCTCCCAAACAGATGCTTGCATTCGGATGAAACCTTGACGCTGCGTGCTCCACAGCTCTGAGGTACCTTGCCACAAATCGAGATGGGTCTGAGTGGAGCGTTGTGAGCGTCTTTTGAGAGAGACGCGACGTTTTTGAGCTGGATTGCATAATACGCACGCCGCACCCGGACAGGGTGCGCACGCAGCAACCAACGCACGCAACACACCCCAAACGCCCATCGCTCTCTCGCAACGCATCCCGCCAATCATACAGCCGGGGACAACGTCGCTATTGGCAGCAATATGCCTTAGGATATTGTTATGGATCACGCTGCACTACAATACATCGTGTTGGGCGTACGATGCCGAGTCTAGTGGATTTTCGGCCGCTGCTGTGGGCGGGTGTATGTAGAGTAAACGTGCCAATTGAGGACCACCTAAGCCCCCCCCCACTCAGGCAGCTCGTTCTCTGGCGTAACGATGATTTATGAAGAGGTTGGGGTATCGGATGATAGCTTAGAGCACACCCTACCAGCCCAAAAAGTGTTTTTTGAGAAAAAGTCAAGTGGCGATGAACTATAGCCCTCGAACTATACCTTCCAGAAAAACATGCAGCAAAAATGACGGTGCCCCTGTTAGGGACCACTTTCGGGTAGTGGCCGATTACGCAGGTTCTAAAGCGTTTCAAGACCTGAAATTTCGCACACGAGCTGGTAATATCATGTAGATTCCATTAAAACAAACAAAAAAAGATCGGTCCACACACGGGGACAAAATGCCTGTATCCCCGGTTTTTCGGCTCCATTGCCGGGGGCGGAAAATACCCCTTTTGAGGGATAACGCGCGTTATTTTGCCATGAAACGCTTCAACCGTCGTATTCTGATGCACGAACGACTCGTGCGCATCCTATTCGAAGTCACAAAAAAAAAAATATTACGACAAAGGAGAGCCCACAGACGATGTTATGGCTGTGCAAACATGGGTACTTTTCCCCCTTTTTTGACTTGGACGGCAGCAAAATCCGTCTGAAATCTGCGAAGAGTTTAAGCAACCATTTTGCACCCATTTGAACCCACCATCACACGCCGTTTGACAAAAACGCGCCGAAGGGTGCAGAAAACACGTTGGAAACGAAAAAAGAAAAACACGCCCAGCCCAGGGGACAAAAGTAGAGCATCCCCGGGTTTCTCGACCAACTGTCCGCCCCCCCCCCCCCCCCCCCCCCCCCCCCCCCCCGGTGCTGGTTTGACACCCAAATTTGCTGACGCAGCCTCGTGAACTATATGTAACCCTCAACGGACTGAAAATGATTCCGCACACTAATTTCAAGCCATTTGTTGCAGACTCTACCCCGATACCGCGTGGTTGTGCACAGCTAACACCCCTCGAAAACACCTACACATCCACTACGTGTGTTGGATTGTGGGCTCGTCCCGATCGAGATACGGAAGCCGCCGACTGCTGAACCCCGGTGATCCCTCCCGCCCCTCCCTCCCCTCTCCCACCGCGGCCAGAACCGCCGCCTCCACGCCCGCGCCCTCCCGTTCCCTCGCCGCGGCCACCAACATTGCGCCCTACCCCCCCCGCGCCCCGCTCCTGCCCACCTCGCCCCCCTCGCCCTCCTTGAACGACACCAGCACCTC